CGTATTTGTTATTTACAACGAAGAAAATTTTTTTTATGGGAAACGCATCTTTTTCGATTACGTTTCGCAACTGATATCTACTCAGAAGAACCATGTGAGTTTTTGGACAAACAACAATAATTGGTTGTTGTGTGTGTAACAATATAAAACAGTGTAACATAGCATGCTTAGTAAGCACGTGTGAATCTGTGAATGCTCGGGGCGGCATGATTTGTTACACTTATGCTACGAAACTACCGCACTTTGAAACCATGTTTTCGATAAGACTCCCAAGTATGCTTTTTCGGTGGATATTTGATATCAAAAATATCGCCGCCTAACCGCGATTTTTGTAAGATGATGCTTGGGCCAGTCCCAAGCCTGGAAAAATTGTGAGGGAAGGAAGGGTCAAGAGCCGTCTCGATAGCTTCGGAATTCTCGAAGCCCCTTGCTCTGTAGGCTTTTCTTACAGTCCTTGAAGCAAAAATTTCCTACCCAGCAAGGAGCTTCGAAAATCTTAAAATTTGTCAAAGCTCTTTTGCGTCAAAATGATGCGTTTTTGGAAAATTTTATGCAAAATCTATGGCCCTTGAATTTTCCCGCGTTTTTGGAAAATTTTATGCAAAATCTATGGCCCTTGAATTTTCCTACTCAGCATAAAACCTTAATAGGTACAATCTTAGTATAATATTGCACATCTTACACATCAACATTGCAACCATATTACATCCATCTTAGTAAGAATGAGGTAAGATTGCATCAATGTTGATGTGCTACTGCCAGGGACTTGCCTGAACTAGAGTACCTGTATAGCGAGAGTATGGACAGATCGCTTCATGGAGAGCTTAGGGCCCAAAAGTGCAGCCACCCTTCTAACCAACTTCTAACGCACAAAATTTCATTGCCAGTCTGCAGGTTCCAATTCTGACGAAGATGGCCAAGAATGTACAGAAATGAGCGTTCTTCCGAAAAATTAAGTAAATTAATGCAAAAACTGAGTCAAACACGTGCTTAATAAACGACGGTTCGTAACAATAGTATTAGTAAATCGTTCTGGATAATTGAAATTCATAGGTTGGCTGCATTTCGGGGCCCTAACTAGATACACTCCAAAGACATAAAGACGGAGCACTAAAAGCAAAAAATGAAGCTTCTAGAGCTTCTTTTCAATCACCTCTACTATTGGCTAGAGGATTGGCGGCGAAATCGGGACAAGTTTGAATTCAAATGTAGGGCGGGAACTAATAAATAAAATTGCGGAAACAAAGTATTTTAGGTTGATTTTTGCCCAAATTCAGGTACACACTCATATTTTATTAACTTTAGGTTAGTTTCGGTCCGTCGTCGACCGACTGATTTCATTTGGGAGTAACGTAGATCTAGAACTGTAACGGCCTGTTTGAACCTGCAGAACCACCATAAGCGGAAGAAAAACTAACTTTATCTGAGATTACTGCCTGTTACCGAGCAAAAGTAGGTGTAATATATTAGGACGCAGACCGAACTTTCTTAATATAATCGTTTAAAGCATTTAAAACACGTTTCGAAGAAGAAATAAGGAAAAATCAAGAGGACAAGTTCAAATCAAATTTCCGTTTGCCGCCATGGATTCCCGCGCTCATTTACACACTCACACAAACGCGCAGCGCCGAACCTAGCTTCACTTTTTCCCCGTGCTTTTAGATACGAGCACTCCGTCTTTATGTCTTTGATACACTCCGTCTTTATGTCTCTGATTTTTTCGCATTGGTAGCATTGAAAGAGGTTATGCTAATGTTATTGTTTGGATCCAATTCGATATAATGGAGAATCCCTACAGACGCTATTAGTGGCGACGTCATCATAGGGATTCTCCATTATATCGAATTGGATCCAAACAATAACATTGGCATAACCTCTTTCAATGCTACCAGTGCGAAAAAATCGATATATATCGCTTTTCTGTGACGTTGCACTAATAGCGTCTATGATGACGTCGCCACTAATAGCGTCTATAGACGCTATTAGTGCCACGTCACAGTCGGTATCGATTGTATCGAACTGGATCCAAACAATCAAACATAACCTCATCTTGACACCTCCCTCCCAGAATTTCACTGTCAAAAGCCAAGAAACTGGAGTGGCATAGGAGTGGCCTAAATCATGGTGGCTCTCGTGGGTATTTTCACCTTTCTGAAACTGCTTTATCCCGTCAACTAAACAATGCGGGAACGTTCCGCGATTAAAAGAGCTGTCTCTAACACAACTTTTTTCTCAAACTGGGCGAATTATCTCTGAAATTCTTTAGTTTCATATTGAATAGTAAGGTTATGTTTGATTGTTTGGATCCAGTTCGATACAATCGATACCGACTGTGACGTGGCACTAATAGAGTCTATACGACGAGTCCTCCGAAAATTCCATAGAGTACAATAAATAGAGTCGCAAAGTACTGGAGCGCCGATAAAGCCAATCCATGAACAGGCGTTTCCGAGCCGCGTGTGCTCCGAAAAGTGTGAACCATTTGTGAACCCAACGGCATTTTGTAACACGGCGGCTTATGGAGAGATCAAGAACTGCTTGTGTTTTTTAGGTATTTTATAATTCAATCAGCATTAATTTTTGCAAATTTTGCTATTTAAAGGTAGTCAAAGCCATAATGAATCCATTGATGTATATTACTCCTGGATAATATTCATATTGGGATTTAATTTCTGACTTATACCAAGTGTGAACCAACCGGCATTTCTTATCACGGCGGCTTACGGGAAAAGCAACGACTGCCTGTGTTTTTTCGACATTTTTTAATTCCATCGATATTAATTTGTGCAAATTTTGCTATAATTAGATAGTCAAAGCCATAATGAATCCATTGATGTATATTACTCCTGGATAATATTCATACAGGGATTTAATTTCTGACTTATACCAAGTGTGAACCAACCGGAATTTTTTAACACGGTGGCTTATGGAGAAATCAAGGACTGCTTGTATTTTTTCGACTTTTTTTAATTCCATCGGTATTAATTTGTACAAATTTTGCTTTAAATAGATATCCAAAGCCATAATGAATCCATTAATGTATGTTACTCCTGGATAATCTATACTATAAGCTCCGAGACCTCCTAATTTTGCGAAACTGGTGACGCTTAGTTCCAGCGTTCTACCGGGCACCGGGCCGATTTTCATGATTTTTGCGGCTATCGACGGGCAATTGTCTCTAGATAAGCCAACTCTTTGCAGATTTTCAAAATATGGCCCAGGTTTTTTTATATTACGTGGTAAAGTTGCGAATTCTCCTAGAGTCCCCTTTATGTCCCTTTTTGTCCCTTTTTTTCTTATGGGTATAAAGGGACTCTAAATTCTCCCATATAAACAATGTAAATTTATGTGTTTTGTCATAGTTCGTTTGAGCATTCTACTGGGCCGATTTCCATGATTTTTGCGTAAATCGACAGGTAATAGGCTCTAGATGAGCCCGCTCTAATCAGATTTTGGAAAAAGGACCCAGGTTTTTTTAAAATCACGTTATTAAAGTGAGTGAATTTACAGAGTGCTCCGAGACTAGAGTCCCTTTATACCCAGAGTTAAGACAACTCACTTTTGGTTGGGCTGAAAGTGGCCTAAAAAAAAATCCAATTCTGATTGGTTCTCGCTCATGGAGGCCGAAACGAGTGCACCAAGATGGCGGTACCTCGAATGTGAACAAGAATAATGAAAATATTACCTAATTGTGGTTTATCAAGAGTAAATTGTCATTTCCATCGGTCCAAAATGAGAATAGATTAAGAAATTATTCATAAACCAATCTCATTTTCTTTTTAATTGATCAATTTGTTGATGTTGTTGTTTTTGTGTGACAGACATCGCAGGATTCCTGATCCTTATCCCTCAATATCGTTCGTTTGGGTGCACTCGTTTCGGCCTCCATGGCCAGCCAAGGCCGGCTGCCAGTCAGCTGATAATCGAGTTGTCTTAACTCTGGGTATAAAGGGACTCTATCCGAGACTGCTACCGCTATGCGCGGGAGGATGCGCAGTGGTCGAGGAGGTTGCGCAGTAGGTGTGTAGCCTGCGCATCAGCTCTACATTTATCTGCACAAGACATAGAGTACATAGAGTCGTAATGTAAATGGGAGAGCTGGCGCCATGTTCTGCTCGACGAGTTCCGAGCCCGGTGTGCGCCGAGTTCGGGTCACTTTTTCGATACATTTTCGATCCAAAATGGCGGTGTGGAATACATGGTGATTCCTATCTCCTTCGTTGTTGTTGTTGTTGTCATCGGATGGCCGGGTACCCGTGTATCGCAAACAATCGATTATGTATCGAAAAAGTGACCCGGCGTCACACAGGAGTCTCGGAATTCGGGACATGGAAAATGCTTAAAAGTGGCGCCAGCTCTCCCAATTACATTACGACTCTATGTACTCTATGGCACAAGATATCCGCTAATTACTTCAAGACGAGCGGTGGCCGAGTCGTCTACGACGTCGGATGTGTCCACATTGATCAAGGTGTGGGTTCGATCCCTGCCTCCTGAGATACTTAATAATTATCCGATTTAAACAGATCGTTGTTTTACTGTAATATTTCATCAAGCAGTCATTCCAAAACGCGTCCTTTTGACTTCAAAAATTTTTTTTTCTTTATTCATCAAAACCAAAAATTATTTTATTCTATTAAGTATACCTCATATCGAATTTTTTTAGGGGAAAAATAAAACTAATACTAATAGGAGGGTAAAAATAGGGCCGCGAAGCGGCCCATTGATGGCGCGGAGCGCCTTCGGGGGGTTGGGCCGCGTAGCGGCCAGGGGGCGTAGCCCCCTAGTATTCATATATGGACTCAATTTCAGACTTATTACCGGCCTACTTGGCTGGTTCAATAATATTAATGTGTGTGGACCTAGCCGACGAACGGAGCCGAGTCGTGAGTGGGGAGGTGGGGAGCGCTGAGCGCGAGTCTCTGCGCTTGCGTCATCGCTGGTCGCCGCACACTAGTTTCCGGAGAACTGGACAAAACAGCCTCGAAAAGTGACTTCAACGGCGATCCAGTACTTTGCGACTCTATTGTACTCTATGGAAAATTCCGAAATGTTATCAGTATCACAGCACAGCGCAACATTACAGAAACTAGACAGAAACAGAACAGTAAACAGTTAGGTATGGAGCCAACATCCTGTCTCTAATTAGTCCCAAAATATCGCTATCCAGGTTGGTCTAGTATTCCTTGGTTTTTATTTTGTACGCAATTTGCACTTTCATCTTTTTACTAATTTCTATCGCAAGCAAGTTCCTTATCAGCTGCTAATGTTCCAGGTTAAGCCAGAACAGAGATGGAATGTGAAATTTCACGTTATGAAATTTTAAAAGGCTCGAATAAGTTTCACTAAATTTGAAAGGACCCCGCATACTCCTCGTGGGAAAGTGCACCACGATCGATTTTTAATTTTTTATTGCATTTAATTTCTCTCAAGATGCTGATCTGATGTCATCATTGCGCCAACTTTCCAAGATGCACCTTTTTGCACAATGAGCCTGCCAAGTTGCAATTATTCAGGGATATAGAACAAGAAAGATTCCTTATTTCAGCACTAGTGTGGATGGTCCGCGGTGTGTCAACAAGAAAATCAGGGAAACTCTAGCACTGAGCGGCAGTCTTATCTCAGATTCTGCATGCCTTTTTGCTTGGCCATCCGAATCACTTGTGTGAGGAGCTTAACAGGAAAGTCGGAGAAAAATAGAAAATGTCATATGGATGGGAGCGGGAGGGAGGTAGCCCTTGAGTAAGTAGGAACAACTAAGAAGACAGACATGCGGTACGTTTTTCCTTCTTCACATCAGGCCTGTTCTTGAATGCCTTGTTCTTTTTGGCTCTTTATTACCGAATAATTAAAACTTTACGGGTGTATTGTGTGAAAATGGCGCATAGGAAGTTGGCGCAATAATGACTTTTGATCAGCATCTTGAGAGGAATTGATTGCAATACATAACGAAATTTAGAATCGATTGTGGTGCACTTCCCCACAAGGACTGTGCAGGGTCTTTATTAATTTTTTTCAGAATTATTAATTGAACCCTTGGAAATCAGGAAGTGTTTCAGATAGTCTTCCTGATGATGCGCGAATATTATGCTACCCTACTGAGGTGCCATCATCAAAGAGGGGGGGAGGTGTACGTGTTCAAAGTGTGAAGCTTCGAAGTGGTGGCTGTTGGGTTGAGTGTTGCGCATCGATGCCTCAAAGGAGAGCGTCCTGCTCTCCTTGATGGTAATCACTCTGAACGTCTGTCCAGGGCTGTAGAGAGAGGCCCCAACCCAACCTCTAAACCAAACAAAAACATTTCCAACGTGCGAATGTCTTAGGCTTGGGGTGTACAGTTTCAAAATCCAGAACACAGTTTCTGAGCGTTTCTTAGCCTCTTGAATGCATCCCCTTCAGTTTAAAAAATTTCGTGAAATTTCATAAAATTTAATGCTTGAAAGAATCACGCACAAATCAGGGGTCTCAGTGGCTCCCAGTAGATTTTGATGAAACTTAAATATATTTAAATGAAGTTCATCCATCAGCTCAAAGCCAAAAAATTTCCTCATTCTAACGAGTGGAAGCCGAGATATTCTCGATTGTACCCGGGCCCTTTTCTGTGTGGCGGAGACAAACGGGCGCTCCTCGTCGCCTTTCCCTATGCTTGAACACTTCAGACTTCGGTAGGGAAATCTTCTCTCTTCTCCAGGTAGCTCCTCGGATATTGAGATATGGAGTTCTCTGTCTCTTGCACCTCTCCTCTGAAATGACTAAAGAGCTGCTGAATCAGAATCGGCAGATGCGGGGAGGAGGGCGTACAGCCTTTGCACCTCCCAAACGTATGAGCAGTTAACTGTGTGTGAGGTCTGATCAAAAGGGCTAAACAACCAGAGGAGAGGGGATTCGTACGTCTTCCATCATGCTGTGACATGATAGAAAATAGTTTGGGTTCATTTGGAAATAACTCTGCTTCTGGCTCTGTGCTAATGATGAACTTTATTTTAATTTATGAAAGTTTCACCAGAATCTATGGGGAGCCATTGAGCCTCCTGTTTTGTGCAGGGTTCTCTCACGGGAATAAATTTCATGAAATTTTCTATCTCTGCAGCGAGAGACCACTCAATGAGTTACCCCTCATCACAGTCTTTAGGTGCTTTGCCGAAGTTTTTAGAGAGCTCTCTGGCATAACTCAGGGACAGCAACAACCGTTGTCAGACCCTGGAGGAGTCACCTGGAGACTTGCTGCATCAGTCTCTTAACTGCTCTTCAAGTCTCCGACCTCAAGAGACAAAGGCTTGTTGAGACAAAAGAAGAGAAAGAGACAAAATTTTTGTTTTTAACATATCTTCGGAGAGTTTCGCTTGTAAGGCATTTAGCCTCGTATATACAGGTTCTCAAGATTACCAATGTGGGTCATTATATTAGTACCTTGAATATGTTTGTAGTTGAAAAACTCTTCTAGCAGGACACATCTCTGTTCCTCTGTGTCGCGTTCATAGAGTTCTTTGATGATGGTCCACGTCTCCTTGCCTAATTGGCACTTCCAGAATTACCTTTGCTTGGAACGCAATCTTGATTTGGAACTTCCATTGGTGATAAGAGTTATCCTTCAGCTTTTCAACATCACGTATCTCTATAAGGCGTGTTCGTGCTTGCTTCGTACGACATGTTGATTATTGTTGATTAGACTTCACAAAAAAATGTTTATCGCAAATTTGCTTTGCAAAAAAATAGTTTCATAAACAGCATTTTTGGCCAAGTTTCCTAATCTTTATTAAATACTTGCGCGTCTTGCACGCTCAAATGTTTAATTTATATCAAAAGTAACGTAATAGGAGGCTCCCATCACAAATTTTTAGGGCTCTAGCGTAACTACCTTATCCCTAATAGTATCATCAAATCGATGAAATTCGTCAATTTTTGGAACCATACATTTCAAAAATATGCGATGCGGCAGCACTGAAACTTCACCTAGAACTCTGAAACTTAGCCAAAGTTGTTTTTTAACCGAATGGAACACTTTTTCGTCCAGAAAACGCTACTTTTTGAGGGTCGACTTCTTTGTGGGACATTCTAACCATCATGCTAGTAAAACTTACTTGATAGTTCAGCATCTTTGTGCACATGTTTAGAGTGGCTGAGGAAATATTTTTCTTTAAATGGTTATTAAGGCGCTACCCTCTTACGCACTGCTGATGAGACTCTATATTGTGTTAATTTTCCCCAGCGAATACCTGCTTTTTTGAAAAATCATAGCTCCAAGTAGGGTTTTTTTTTGAAAACTGAAGGCATTCATGTCTAAGTATGGTATTCTGATTCAGGGGCTTGAGGAACTTAGCATGAGTTTTATGCTTCCCCAATCAATAGAGATTAAGACCAAATACGCCGCCACCACAATTAGGACCCTTTCCACAAAAAATTATGTTTTTTTTTTTTTTTTTTTGACATCCCAGCTATAGCTTGTCTCAACACCTCGTGCAATGATTGTTGTAATAGTGCGCCTAGTAACTGATAGGTAGGGAACATTTTGTGTGCACCACTTTTGCCATCATCATGTTGCGGAGGAAAAATTAAAACCAACTCCCAATATACCAAGTTTATTTCTTCGAAGATAACCTCCTCTCCGAAGAAGAAAAACTAAAGTTATTCCTTACCGAGCCCTGGCAAAGAAGAAAATGTAGGAAATGAGTATGCGGTCTGAGGTGGTGGAATTGGAGCTCCATATAAGCCATCCATCTGCTGAACTCCTGAAAATTACATAGCAGCATAGAATTTTCTGCAGTAGATATCATGTAATGTTGCGTTAATTTTCAATTTTCCCTTCTCTTTTCATCTGTGAGCTCCTAAAGGTTAATATGTTTTCTATGCCTTTCAGATTGCTGTGCAACAAGTGAGTAAGTGCTAAAAGTCAGAATGGCGAAGAAAGTCAATGTAAAAATCACTAGTAACACAAAAGGAGACCGAATGAACATAGCCGTTCTATTTTCCCTGTACTTGCTGCAAGGAATTCCTCTAGGATTGTGTGCAGCCATCCCCATGCTCTTACAAAATAAGAAAGTGAGCTATCGGCAACAGGTATGGCTCCTTGCAAATGGTTTTACTTTTGGCATTTCTGCATTAAGTGAAAGGGTGTAGATTTTATGTTTTGCATTTGTAAGTTAAAGATATGTAAGAATGCAGCACATTTTACAGAAATAGATGAGCCGAACAGGAACTGCTGAAAAAAAAAATTTAAAATTTAATTTTTTCATTCCTTACCTATTTGTAGCATGATGTACAAAGTAAAAAGTAGGTGCGGTAAGCAAAATGATTTTTAAACATTAAGTATTTTCTGAGTTTTCTGTAAATAAGTTTAATCATCAATATTTGTTAAAGTAACTAGTGCTTAGAAAAGTTGACACATAGATTAATGGAGGATTTTCAAATTTCTATAACTTGATGGTTCTATTTATATTTAGATGGAAACATCTGAGGGAGCTGAGAGCAAAGATATCTGTTTTCTCTAAATTGAACCATTGTTGGAGGAGTTATGACAGTGTATCTAATCAGCTGAAACACACAAATGTAAATAGAGTAAACTTCTACACCACACAGTACACTTTTAAATCTATTTTTTCTTAACTTCCTGTATTAGGATTAAAATTATGAGGAAACTAGTTTTATGTCAATCAATTTTTTGTGTGCTAATTTGCCATTAATCGGTGGTAATTGGTACTGACACAATATTATTAGTCGCTTAGCTTTTCGAAAAATAGATTTTTCTTCTGAAGTTCCTCATTTAAGTGTATACCCACTAACTTTTTTGAAACAACATCATGAAGGAATGTTGTAAGTGTCTGATAATTTAATTGGACAGCTTTTGTTAAGTCTCTTCACATTGGTTATCTTGTATCGTTATCCTATTTTCAAGGGACTGCTAACACAAGAATTTAATCAAAACGGTTAGTCTTCCTGGTTTACTGAAATGGTCAGCTGTATGGAAGTTTTATTGAGTTTAATTGATGGAAAGTCATGTCTTTTATTCTATAATATATTGTGTTTATCAATATTCAGTCTACCTTTCAAAGAGCCTCCCGATTTCATGATTCCATACGTATAAAAATTTAAAGTTTTGAAAAGAACCAATGAGTCAGTTAAGCTCAGAAGGGATTTGCCTGCAAATAGTCGAATCTGGCGTTCTGGGTACGTCCATATACATTTTTTCAAAAATCATGAAGGATTCAATGTAATTATTCTAAGTATTCCTCATCGAAAAAATTTACATAATGACACCAAAATTAGGAGGCTCGATGAATTAATCCTTGAAGTAAACTCAGAAATTATAATTCATACTAGAAAATATAATAATAGCAAAATGTGTACAACTATATTTTAAAATGGGGACTTCAATGTGAAGGATGGTTTAATATTATGGATCTGATCAAGGGAAATGACATTTGCAGCGTTATTCCAACAGAAAATACAGGGTGGCCCAGACCTACCGTACCAGGCCTTTTTTCTGGTTAATTTGGGTCGTACGAAGTCCAGGATGGCAGGGACGTGTAGGGAATCGACCCCAAGGAATCCGAATTGCATGGTCCTAGAGCTCTCCTGGCGGTCTT